TTTCAACAAAAAAAATTATGGATAGAATAGAATGAATTAGACATCGTTTAGCTCTGGATGTGTGCTGACTCGATGCTGTTAGGTAAGGCAACGCATAATCCCTTAACTGTTAATAAGAAAAAAAATCAAATTCATATACGAATTCGTCAGGAACACTCAGAAGTTGATGACATATTATATAATGAGCATAGGTGAGGAGAGTTCATAATGTGAAAGTGAGGTGAAAAAGATCGCATATTTAGCCGATTCCTAACTGGCTACACAAGTTTTTATATCACTACAACCGTTGGCATTCAGTCGAGAACACTACTTTCATCCTAGTTTTCCGAACTTTCAAGGCAAAATCAATGTAAATTCTTAAAGCGATCATAGCAACAGTGACGAAACATTTATGGACATCATCGCTTCAGTTTATACAAAATTGCATGTATTCAGTCGTTGCTATTATCTATGCAGTCGCCGGAGTAAAAGTATTATAAGCTTGAAAGAACAGTAAGTTTTCTCAAGGCGGAATAAGTGTTGAAGCAAGTAGTTAATCACCAATAACCTTTGTGTATCCAAAACAGTCTCATTTCCATTTTTCAGTGCCGATAAAGAGAATCATTCGTACTAATGTGGGTACTGTAAAGAAACCACCTGGTAGTGGTCGTTTGAGACTCAAGAACAAAAAGAAAGTATTTAAAAGTGGTAACGCGCAAGTCGTGGACGGTATGAGGAGGAAGGCCATTCAACGCTAAATTTCCATCGATTTTCGCTTTTTTCTGCATCCATCCATACTCCTTTCAAGCAAAACTATGTTGTCAATTATGTGTATCGAGCACTCAAAAATTTACCACCAGCTCGCAAGACCTGTTGTACCTGGCGAGGTAACTGCTCAGGAGGACTTATTGAAGTTGACGATAAGTTGAACATCTATGTTTGGAGACTATGCATTGAGAAAAAACAAAAGTTCATTTGATGGCTGTGCTTCCACAATACCGTACTCGAAAGGTGTTGGATAGCTCTTACTTGCCTCAATGTCGGTGACGGGCCGTTATCGAGCACGAACTCACCCAACCTTGTTATGTATCAATTCTCAGCAATCACACTTTATATCCAGCAACCTCAATTCATCGACTGAAAATGGTGATGACAAAATGTGATTGTACGTTGTGCTACCACCACATACGTCTCGCCTCTCTGCTACAATGTAGAGCTCACTGTGGAGCTTGGATCATTGATAAAGAGGGCGATACCTCCGAAACACATGTATGGTTCTGATGTAACAGCCTCGATAAGGCTTTAAACATTATTACAGACCATATCAACAACAGCAGTGCTAATTGTTAATCTGCCAAAAGAGTATGTTTATTGAAAGAAACTCTAGATGCCCACATCGTTACAGTGCGTTAAAGATTACAGTAGAAGAACTCGAAAAGAGAGACTATATTGAGTTACTGATTTATTTCTCAATTTTGTAACAATCTCACAAAAATGTTGTCATAAAACACCGAAAGTTTCAAAAGTTAAAAGAATAAAAAAAGCTTTTGTGGGATAACACAACAGGCGCTTTTTCTTAGACACTAATAGACAATGTATAGCTCAATCAGCAGTGATTTCTACTAAAAGAAATACTGAAGCTACGTATATTGAGATATTCATCGACAACACTTTTTGTAGCACTGCCACCTCCGCCGACAGTTTAGACTCAAAGGAAAAACCCGATTTCTTGTTGTCGTAGATGTCGCAAATATGCAAATAAAAGGGCACATTTATAGGTGAGTATTTAGGTAGCGGGTGAGGCAGCGCAGTGGTTAGTAAGGCTGTGTATCAGATAGCAGTGATAAGCATGGAACTGGCTCTATAGCCTCTTTCGAGAAATAGACTGCAATGATGGGTCGTGATAGAGAAATTATGAAAGGAGACGATTTACACAACTTCTATAACGACAAACGAAACATTAATTTTTATTTTATCACTTAATACCCTCAAATTGAAAAAACATAAGATTCATTTTGCAGAAACTTTTGCACATGATTACATATTCTTACTTTTATCTTCGCGTGATTCACCACTGCTGGCAGAACCGACTGCAAACAGCTGATGTCATCGAACTACGTGATTGTCTGCCAGAATGTTACAACTGTGTCAATATGCCTAACACTGAGTATTGATAAAATGCTGTTCACTCATTCTACATTTTCAAGAGAAGGATACATCCTAAGATATAGCAGACGCACAAAAAGTTTTTAATATATCTTAAATAATCATTTTTGAGCCTTTCATGAGATCTGTTATGGGCACTCATACAGTTCAATACAGGTGTTTCGGCCTTGTAGCTTCGTTAGTTGCACTGTGTCTTTCTTCTTAAGCCAATTCTCCACATAGATGAATCGCTGACGTAATATTGAGAGGAGCCAACAAGTGATAAAAGTCACCAAGCAGGCAGTGTTGTACTCAGTGTACACACTTACTTAGTTTACATACTGCCCGTTTGGTGATTTTAATCTCTTGATGGAGCTGTCATTATTACATCTGCGATTCCTCTATGTAGAAGGGCTCTCCGTCAAGAGGTTTCGACTCAAAATTAAAGGCACCACGAAGCTAACGAGGCTGCAAGGTTGAAACACGGGTATTGCATTGTATAACTGCCCATAACTGACCACGTGAATGGCTCAAGAATAATTACAAGGTATATTGATATTCCTCGGGACATCAAGCGCTCTAAAGAAGATCAGCGACCTGTTGGTGCGATTTCTTTACGAAAGCTATAAAAGAAAGATATGATGCTCAGCGAGTCCCTACAGCGAAGAGGACCCACTGGGCTACTCTTGCACGCGAGAGGGAAAAATGGAAGGCTGGTACCCGCTCGAGTCACTCGACGATCAACGGAACAACAGGTGATACAGGTGATTGAAATTTGAGCGTGGTGTTAAGAAAACACTATGAACAAATGGTACGAAATTACATTTTTACTTTAGTGGGTTACGAATCGAAAGCAGATCAGTGATGTAGGAGTCAGGCAGGAAAGCTTTCCAAAAAACAGCATTTCAACAGATGAGCTAGAAAGGATTATAAAAGACAAGGCTCCCTCCGATGACTAATTTGAAGGAGATGTGCGCATGCATTCGATTTATCAAAAGATATTAGAAATGACTGTATGCATAACTGACCTTGAGGTTGACTGCTACCGGCCCACCGATGCAACAAGTCTGTACTGTCATTCCTTCAGAAAACAGTGGCGGTGATTTGTTGATCCGCAATGGATATGAGGCACAACACACCGTGATGGCTGGATTGAAGAAAGAATATATATGTAACGCAAGGCATTTAACAGCTGCGCTACACGCGCTCCATTTCCTGGATATAACGTAATAGACCAGAGAAATATCTCCATTAAAGGACTTTCATCAAAGTGCAAGTTAGTGATGTTTAGACAGTCTGGAAAAATGGAGAGTATATTTTATTAACTAACAACTTTACAACTTATCAAGCTAGCCACTTTTGACAGTGATCGAGGAGATTCGTAGCCCTGAGTTAAATTAAATTTAAGAAAAAGATTTGCGTGAAGCTCCGTTAATGAATTTCGATTATACGGACACACTCATTTATTCATTTCCCTAGAAGTTTTCACATCATGCTATTAATTAAATATTTCCAGTTCTGGACTGTACCGCATAGAGTTGCATTTTCGCATTACAGATCACGTAAGGAATAACAAAGATGGAATTGAAGCGTTCTAGATACACATCGATTTATGCATACAGGAATATAGCTACCAGTATTGACAGTGAGAATATGGCGAGAAACTGCGGTTGAAACTATATTTATAGCGTTCACTGACGGCATGTCAAACTATTTAAGACAACTGCCCAAGTATTTACGAGTGTTATTATAGCAGAGAAACTCTCTCTTCCACTCGAAAAACTTACCTGGTCAAACAGACTTTCTTTTATCCAACCGATTCTGGCGGTGATATGATGTTATAAGTTTATCCAATGATGTGAAGTGATGTGCAAAACCTTGAAGTCATGCAAGAATCGAACTCGCTTCTGTATCTTCCACTAACTCTGTTTTGCCACCACTCTTGGTACATATAGATGCGTTATAGCGCTTGAACAGTGATTTCAAAGTAGGCATCGGTAGCGCAAAGGATGAAGAACGCGCCCCGCATAGGGTGAAATTCGGGTTTGAGTCTCGCCAAACAGGAAAGTTTTGCACATCCACTCTACATTATTGGGTATATCTAAAATTCACCTGATTATTCATCAGAGCCTAGGAAAAACGTAGGTGAAACCATGTGATAAACAGGGTAATGTAGGCCCATTGTTTCATAAATGAAAGCAAAAACTGATACTCACTTGCCATATGCAATCAACAATGGGAAATCAGCAATCAAATAACACCAAAAACCTAAAGAACCCATGTTATTTAATCGCCAACAAAAATTATGTTTGAGCGAGGGCAATAGATTCTTCTAATACGAAGAAATATTAGTGACCAAAAGAATGACGAGTAGTTTTCCTCAGCAGCTGAGAATGATTTTTCACATAGCAAGGTAGCAAGTCTTCTTCCAACTACGTCCGTCACAAATACCCCTTGAAAATGCTTTACTTTACCTGTTTTGAATAATTTATTCGTTTCAGATATGTTTTTGAATCTCCTGCCAATAGCTTTTTTGATGCTCAGTAATCATTCCATGTATTTGTGTCGCGTCAGACTCATAAATACACAATGATGTAAAGATATGTATACAGAATACAGGGAGACTATCCCATGCATTGATCTTTGGAACAAACTTCACGTAATGGTATGTTTACTGAAGATAAAATCACCGCTCATATTTTAACGTAAACAATCTGAACGAAGAAATCTCTCAGAACTGTAGCGATTCGCATTCTTTATTGAAGATATGACACATAATAACACGAGCTTGACGAAAGTAGATCGACCCAGGCAACGTTGCGACACATTTGTTTTCTTCACAGAGAATAATCCGAGCCGATTGCCTATACATCATTGTTCATCTCTGGTTCAGTGGTAGAATGCTCAACTGCTACGTGAGCAACCCGGGTTCGATTCCCGGCCATAGCACCAAATGCATTGGCTTAAGTGGAGAAGGCGTAGGGGCTGGCTCTCCATGATTGATGCCCTTAAGCTCTAGTCTGAAACGTGTCAAGGTCACGCAAATGAAAACGAAACACATCTAGTATAAAATTTGAAATAATTCGAGAAGTTTCGAGAAAAAGTTGTGGAAGCCAGCTTCATTATGCACTCCTGAAGTTTTCCCATTGGTGCTATTAACAGTAACTTTATAACTTTATGAATGTATGAACAAAGATAGGTAAACCATCTCATTTATACGGCAGTCTTTACAAATTGGATATTCCGATCCATTTTTGTACCATTTAGGGGTGAAGTCTTTTCCTCTTTTAGTGGAATTTCAGCAGAGATTCGATACCGAATTCTTGGTAACTTTGATACTGCACATAGTTGTGAAAAGGCCATCAATGCGCCTTTTAGAGAAAAAAATGTAATGAACTTCACAATCGACGCGCAAGCAATTTGCGCGTGTTTTTGTTATTTGTTTGGAACTAATCGACATTTTTCTAGAAAATTTCAGGTATTTCCAAACTAAAATTGTAGAACAAACTTCACCCTATTGTCCCATGGGTATATGTTCCAATTTTCACCAAACTCGCCACAAGCATCAGCCTAAGCAGCCTAGGAGTGCAAAACGCCATCTTTTTTGTCTCTTCAAGTGCTCTATGAATATCTTTTCAATAACTAAGCCTTGTTTCAAATCAACTGAATTCACGTTACTATACAACTATCAGATCTTTTATAAGACCATCCATGAGCCCTGGCACCTTGACAACATTTGTTGAGAATGTTACGAAAATCCATTCACAGTCTCATCACATTCTCCTGCAGAGAAAAAACTGCTCGCCGAGTGCAAAACTCAGTTTTATTTTCGCTTCTACTAAAAGCAATTTTGTCAAACGAGCAGAGCCTGATCGCGTGAGATACAAGCTTGCGAATGGTCACCAAAAGTTCAAAAGAGAATCTCTTTTCAGCAAAAAACGCGTCAAAATTCGCCTAGCGTGGAACTTAATTTTCAATTTCTTTGCTATGAAGCACTGAAAAGGCCTTTTCAGGAAATAGTATACTTACAAAAATTTTGTGAAGAGGTGAAAAGGCTTCGTTCCTCAAAGGTTAAAGAATGCTTCCGTCTGACAGAAGTGACTGCCATATGCTCTCCCCAGTTGGCGGAATTAGAGATAAATTATAGTCGACGACTCTATTCTACATTAATAGCGATAACTATAATCGCAATCATATTTTTCGAACCTGCTCTGATGATTTGTAGATGAACTAGTAATCGACAGGCCGTGATATTTCAAGCTGTCAGTGTGAATCTAACATCTCACTGAGCTCTTTTTTGCATGGCACACCACTAAGAGCAGCATAATGAAGCATTGCGTTTGGTCTTACAATTTTCACAAATGATTAAGACAGCGAAGTCGGCTATGATGACGGAGAGAGCGACTGTGATGATATTAGTGAGGATTGCATTAAGAAATAAACAAGAAAACGATTCTTCTGAACTTTTTAAACAAATTGCATTCGTAATCAATAAATGCAATTGGCAACATTCACACCTCACTTAGGAACGTTACCATCTGCCAAGGTCGTTTAAGCCTCTCATGAGATCTGTTATGGGCACTTATACAGTGAGATACAAGGCTTTGGCTTTCTAGCCTCATCATTTGCACAGTCCCTTTTCGTTCATTCAGTTGCTCTGGGATCTACCCCTATATGGGTAAAACGATGACGAACTTTTTACACTCAACGTATGGTGAAACAGTCACCGAGATGTTTGTTTGGAGTGTTTGATGGCCAAGCAATATTATCTAACAATAGATCCCCGAGGAGATTGAACGAAAAGGCACCGCACAACAATTGTGATCATTTCATGGCACTAACATAGGCTAAATGACAATCAATAAATGTTTCTAAATATAAGTAGTAGGGTGATTCCATAATGGATTTAGGTTGAGCGACCTTCTGGCTAACCGCAATCCTAACTTTCGTACTTCCTAATTCTCTAAAAGTGATAATATCGCCACTCACTCTTTTCTTGTACGCATTTGATTCTTCACTTTTAGAACGTCATCCTTCTCGTTTTTCGATTTTCATACTAAACCTGTAAAGTCAGTTTTTGATATGAAACTTCTGAAAGCGTATTATCTAACAATGTTAACATTTCTTTGCTAGTTTGTTTGTTTATCCCTTTTTAATTTCCTATGTTTAGATTTTTTTCACCCTTGTCTATATCGTCATAGCACAAATGCTACATAGGTAGTACATTTTGAAACTGTGATCTGGAATCATCTGAGGAAGTAACCTAGATTACGGGAGCAATTTTATATCAGACGCCAAAAATGTCGGTACTGTGCCTGATGGAAGTGCAGTACTGATATGAAAACCTTTGAATCATATTAACCGAACACTCCTCTTTTTGATCCAACTGGTGAACTCCGTGTAAGGACTATCTCTGACTACTGACTAGGGCAGAAAAATTTGCTTAACCACCGAATAACGGTCAAATACCATTTTTACCTGTATCCCTATTACTCTCAAAAAATAATAACAAAGTACAGATGAAGTTTCAGTCAATGATACATAAAATTTTCTTGCCACATTGGTATACTTCTTATTGGAATTATCCCTATAGAAGCCTTCGAAGTAATATCCCACAATACATTAATAATAATGCGTCCCCTTAAGACATCAGTTTACCTAACGGTGTCCTTTATTTCCATTGCAGAGTCCGTCTATACAAATTGTTGAAGAGGGCGCGACGCCATCATTATACAGTAGCTGAGTGAGACGCGACGTCGCCATCATGCTACTTTCCGTAACCTCTTGCCAAGGAGTTAGAACATCACATGATTAATGAAAGGCAGGGAAACTAAAAATTCGTGTAGATGATCACAAGAACAGTATGTTTTTTCCAGTATGTCCATATAATTCACAACTATGATCGCGCTACTGTTCAACTGTTTTTGATCACTTCTTAGTTGTTGGTTCGGTCAGTTTTTTCGTTGCAATTTTTTTCATATAAGATATGCTATAGATCATCCAATTCAAAAAATTTTATCGAAAAATAAACCTGCTGGAATTGTTACATCCAATATCAGATAAAACCATGATTCACAGTCATCTTTTGGACCCTTCTCAACATTTCTATATCAGGCCATTGAAGCAAATCGAATCGTTGCCTTAATAAGTATAATGTTAAAAAGTAGCCAGTTTTGAAGCTAGAGCGTTAAAAAGTTAAATACCACTCGATTTGATGAAAGATACTATTCCAAAAAGCCATGCTTGAAGTTTTTTGAAAAGGCAGATGTATCTTATTAGCTCAATCCCTCTTTATCAAACGCGCCCATTATGCCAAGTCACCATTACAATAATCATTAGTGTTATCTTTTTTACTGTTCAGAAGCAAAGACTTAATTAAGTGTGATATCGCCCTGTATCAACAAAACAGTTCGCTGTTGCTTGTCACACTCAGATTGCGTTAGTTTCGTTATATTGAGCGTTTTGTGCGTTTTCAAACCTCGCGGTAATACCTGATATTTTAGGGAATGACACGAAAAATGATGCAGAAAAAGTTTTTAAATCGTCTTTGCCTCTATAAGGCAGCAGTTCTTTCGTTCTCATATAAAAGAGCCAACAGAGAGTATAGGGATCGAAAGGCGAATGGTCAAATTATAGAGGGGCGACGATTGAAGGTTAAATCAAACAAATACTTTAGATAGAAGAATTTATCGCGTGTTTTTAGTTTACCTTCCACATTTATGATTTTTCTTGCTATTCCAAAATCAAGTGTGTATACCTAAAAATTCTATTAATATTCATGGAAATTTTGCACTTCACTCTGCATTACATGGTATATCTTTATCGTCATTTCACCGCGAAAAGTGCCTAAATACATTAAATTTAGTTAGATCATTCATAAAATTCATAATTTTGCTTGTGGATCCTGCATCGGTTGCGATTCTTTAGAATATAAGCCCTTACCACTCGTTTCTTGTCTCCCATATCACATGCGCAATTGACCGGCACTAGATCTCGATGTATAAAACCGTGCTCATGTAAATCTTCACATGCCTCTAGACACATGCCTGCACCCATACTAGTTGGTCCGTGAACACCTTAAGACAGAAAAATCTTTGCGAAAACTACGATGACAGCGATAAGTGCAAAAGTCCATACTTCATTAGAGTGTAACGCTTTGAGATATGCGAGACTTTTACCAACTAACTCCATGACAAGGAAGAAGAACGTATCTTTATGCCTCAATCGAGAATTGATGTAAAATGTGACCGTTTCCGTTGATCAGCTACGAGTTAAGTATTGCAATCTGGAATATGAGACAACATTAATCTGGGTGAGTACTTGATAGATTCGTCTTTACTACGTATGACTGGTTATATACGACTCAGGCACACAAACTCTGAAAATTGTCCTTGTTAAGAGTTTCTAAGGTGTCAGCGTCAGCCGCCGATATGTGAGAAGCTTTATTCAGAATAGCTACGATTTGTTAAAGTCGTTTTCCTATAAAATGAGAAAACGGGTAGAATCTAATATCCCGGTATTACCTGTTATTACAGAACACCACCTGAATTACTTATATAGACGACCCGTTATAACAATGACTTTACGGAACGCCATATGTAAGCTATATTCGAGATTGCAAAGAGACGCGCTTAATCAGTATTCTAGTAGGTTGGAGAGAAAGTTCTGAGAAATTGCCCGTGATCTTTTTGAGTGTAGACCATTTTTTTAATTTTAGGCTTTCAGTAGTCCATCTTTTCCCACGTTGGTTGGCATATAGTTAATCTTTTTCATTCAGGTTGGAGTTAACAAGCGAGCAAATTAGACTGTTGATGATACGCGAATGGCTGTTGGGTTCAATACAACGTGGGAAAGTGAACACATCGAACTGGCTTGGGAAGGAGACAGAGTTGGCAAAAGCAAGCGCACTAGTGGTTCAAAAAAATTGACGAAGGTGGAGAAAGTTTCGTTCA